CGTGACTTGAACTTGCTGCTTCCCCTGGGGTTCTCCCACCATCTGACCTCAGTGTAGGTGATACTACCCCTGATGTGTGTTCAGAAGTCACAGTTTTAGTCATTTAAAAGTGCCTCAGTGTCTTTTTTTTTATTTAGACTTAGGCCAATTGTCCCCACACATTCCCACTTCACCTGGAGAGGGTGAGCCTGGCATCTAGGCTCATGGGCCTGAATAAAGGCAGGAAGAGCTCACACTTGCTCTGTAATGATTTGAAATGTTAACATATTACATATTGCACTTGTTATCATGCTGCTTCAAGGATCAGAACATATCCTCTTTTCAGGGAAATAACTCGGCAGGGCTTACTTGGGAAAATAACCAGTCTGGCTCTTGTCTACACTACTAAAATATCAAATTGCAAGAAATATGCTTTCACCCAGATCTGGCTGACCTTAGAGTCCTGCAGCATCTCCACTAGACCTAATTCCTGACAATGCAGTCCTTTCTAAGGCATTTCATATTAGGAGAACCTACTTAGGAACAGGGAAAGAGAAAAGTACAAACATTTCCCCCAGCAACTTCCCTATTGTTTTACTAAACATTTATTCAGTTAAGACTCCACACTAGTCTTTATGCTAGGCTCTAGTGATGGTTGAAAGATATCTCTTGCCCCTGAGAAGTTTACAATGCAGTGTGGAAGACGGATAAATAGACCCAGAGTTTATAGCTGGAAGGCTCAGTGCTAGAGTAATGGGAGCAGCTAAGGAGGACATAAAACTGAGTCTAGGGTGGAAGAAATTTGAGTTGCTCCTTAAAGAAGAAAGAGGAAGAAGCCAGGTGAAGAAGGACTAGTTCCAGGTCAAAGAAATTGTATGCGAAAAGTCTGGGAAGGAAGTGAGATCCTGAGCCAGTGGGGCACAAGTCAGGGAGTTGGGTGTGGCTGGTGACTGAATCTGGGGCTGGAAGGTACAGCTGCAGGATTCAGTAGGGGCTATCATGGTCAAACTCGTATACCACAATGGGGCATTTGTCTATTTGAAAGTGAGGGGAGTCTTGAAAGGATTGTTAGCAAACAAGGGGCAAGATTATATGTAGACTTTAGAAATATCCCTGTGGTTTTATGAGATGGAGGAATTAAATGGGAGCCAGAGCAGAGGCAAAGAGGCTAATGGGAAACTTTGTAGTGACCCAGGCTGAGATAAGACAATGAGCTCCTGGCCTAGAGTTGCTGTTGGTAGCGGTGGTGTTGGGGTAAAGTGGGGAGGTGAAGTAGGTAACTGCAACAAAACCAGGCTTATTCCAGTCTTCTTTTTTGGGTAAAATGGAACATGAGTAGTTTTGGCAAAATTAAGTTCAATTTTTTTTAAAGATTTTATTTTTTCCTTTTTCTCCCCAAAGCCCCCTGGTACATAGTTGTGTATTCTTCGTTGTGGGTTCTTCTAGTTGTGGAATGTGGGACGCTGCCTCAGCGTGGTCTGATGAGCAGTGCCATATCCGCGCCCGGGATTCGAACCAATGAAACACTGGGCCGCCTGCAGCGGAGCGCGCGAACTTAACCACTTGGCCACGGGGCCAGCCCCTAAGTTCAATTTTTAATAGTGCGAGATGCCTATGGAAGATCCAGGTGATATTCAGAATGTAGGTGTTTCACTCTGTCAATTTAACACCTTTGTTGAGCATCTGGGATGTGCTAAGGGCCACTTTAGGTAGTAGGATCAATTACAAAAAGGCAAAATCCCTGCCTTTGTAGAGCCTACATTCTGGTTGGAGAGGAAGAAATAATAAACAGTAAACATAATAAGTAAATTATCTGGTAGGTTGGCCAGTCGCAAATGCTATGGAGAGTGAAGCAGTACATAGGGATTGAGATTGGGGTAGAGAGAAGCATAGGTTTTAGTTTAAAAAGGGTAGACAAAGCACGCCTTACTGGGAAGGTAAGATTTAAGCAATTGAGTGAGCTGTGCAGATATGAGGGAAAAGCATTCCAGATAGTAGGAATAGCTACTACAAAGCCCAGAGGAAGGATGCCTGGTGTTCTCAGGAGTAGGTAGTAAACGGATGGGTCTGGAATGGGGCCAGCAAGTGGGAGGGTGGGAAGAAAGGAGGACAGAGAGGAAAGGGGACACCCAGGCCATGTAGGGCCTTATAGGCTGTTGTAAGAAAGTTGCCTTTTATTTGGTGATGGGAATGTTTGGAGGGTTTAGAGCAAAGGGTGACATGGTCTGACAAGTTTTAATAGGATCAATCTGGTTGCTAGCATGGTAGTAGGAGCAGGATGACCAATCAGGCTGCGAAGGACATAGTCCAAATCAGGTGTAATGATGGTTTATACACAGCAATAGTGGTGGAGGGGTAAGAAGTCATCAGATTTTGTACATTTTAGGCATTTTTGTCATTAGATTGAATGACAGGAGTGTGTATTGGTGGGAGAAAGGAGTCCATGGAGTTGCCATCTTAGGCTAGAGAAAGATTTTGGCCTCATCAACATGTCCTTGGTTATTGGACCCGTGGGAACAGACAGCTGAAGGAGAATTCATGGAAGGGGAAAATAAGAAGGGGGAAGTGAGAGGATAGCAGTGTAGGGGAGGAAGACGTTCCTCTACCCACTCTGGGTCCTTCTGGCTGGACAAGGAATTAAACTCACATGAGACAGAATAACAGGAGAAAACTAAAGCTTTATAACATATATGCATGGGAAAGGCTCAGGCAAACTGAGCGACTTGCCAAAATGGCAGAAGTTCTCATCGTAAATACCACCCTCAGCTAAAGACAAAGGAAGATGTTGGGGATGGGGGGAGTCGATCATGGGAGGTTACCAAAAAAGCACAGTAAACAAGGGGAAGGTTATTATGCAGATTTAAGTCCTTGCCTTCTGCATTGATAAGGGTTTCTAGAGATAAGGTCATCTCCCCTTCCTGGTACAGAGAGGGAGACACCTCTACAGATGGAGATTTCCTTTACAGATGGAGATTTCCTTTACAAATGCAAATGTCTCTTAACAAAGGGTAAGTAAATTCTACTTTTCAGAGTTTCTTTCTGGTCTGCAGTTTTTAAAAAGTAACCAGCCCAAAATAATCCTCATGCCAAAGAGACATATCTTGGGGTGGCCAATTCCAGTCCCCCACAGCAGACTCCTCAATACGCTTGGTTGAGATCCGGGTTGTACATCTGGGGAAATCCTGAGCTCTTCAGCTCAAACCACCTCAAAGAAAGTTCAGATGGATTTAAGACACCAGATATTAAAAATAAAATTATGATAATTTAGAAAAAAGTATAGGAGATGCTGTTTATAATCTTGGGATATGAAGGATACTTTAAGATTAAAAATTGTAAAATACTGAGAAATATGACTCCATTGAAATTAAAAACCTTTTATTTAAAAATCATAAACATGATTAAAAGACAGAGGACAGACTCCAAACTTCTTCTCATCAAAAGACACAATTCAGAAAAACAATTGGCAAGGCACAGCTGGGAAAAATATTTGCAAAACGTATATCTAACAAAGGACTAGTGTGCAGGATATGTATATGAAATCCTACACAGAAAATTCCAAGCCACTCAGTAGAGTATGGGTAAAACATTTTAACCAGCCCTTTATAAAGAAGATTCACAAATGTCCAATATTCACATGAAAAAGTGCCAGCATCATTAGTCATCAGGAAAAGGAAAATTAAAACCACAGTGAGGTACCGTTATACACCCACCAGAATGGGTAAAGTTTAAAAAGTCTGACAGCTTCAAATGTCAGGAGAGATATGGAGCACCTGGAACTCTCCTAAACTTCAGGTGGGGATATAAAATGGTACAACCACTTTGAGAAAAGTTCATGCACTTTCTCATCAAACTACACATATACCTAACCTGTCTCAGCAGTTTTCTTCCTAAACATTTACTCAAGAGAAACAAAAACACTTGTACCAGAATATTCATAGCAGCTTTATTCAAACTAGGCAAAAGCTGTAAATATCTCAAGTGTCCATTCAGAAGAGAATGGAAAGCAAACTGTGTATTCACACTACTCAGATATCAAAAGGAAGGACCCTTATTAACAAGTAACAACATGGAGGAATCCCCAAAACTGTGCTGAATGAAAGACACGGACACAGAGGAGGGCATCCTGTGTCCCCACGGTTGGGAACTGCTAGAACAGCCCAAATTAACCTGAAGTGGACTTCATCTCTGAAAGGTCGGGAGGAAATGTGGGAGGACTCTCGGAGGCTAGAGGTGCAGCTGGGCCCCAGCAGCGAGCAGAGCAGGGAATGGCCAGCTGAGGGGCCAGCTCAGCCCTTCCCTGAGGTGACCTCCAGGCACTGAGCTGTTCTCTCCCTGTGCTCCCGGCCCGCTCCAGAGTTAGTAGATCGTTCCGTGAGTGAGGTTACCAGTTTAACTCTGCAATACACTGAACAAGCAACAGAAATGCTGGGTGCCACTTCGGTCAGTGGGATCTGCAGTCACATGCAGTTTTGTGTGGTAAATAAGCTGCCGTTGGCCTTATGGAAAGGAGGGAGGAAAGTACAGACTGGAGGTTCTGAACTTCTGCCTTTGCCTTTAAGGAGATTTATAGTTCTCATGTTATAATTTTAATTAACTTGTTAAAATGAGCAAATATATGAGAAAATGTTTAAAGAAAATTAAACACACAGTGCATTTTAGATGTACTCACCGTGGTAGGTAGAATTAATTCTAAGATGGCCGTCCCTTGATGTAGATGCCCTGTGTCATCCCCTCCCCCTGAGTGTAGGTAGGACCTGTGACTATGATGCACATCACTCTGGTGATTATGCTACCCTTTATGGCAAAAGGGAGATTATCCTATTATCCTGGGTGGGCCTCACCTAATCAGGCGAGCCCTGAAAAGTGATGAGAAGTAGCAGTAGATCCTCTCCTGCTGGCCTGGAGGAAAGGAAACAGCCATGGTTGTGAACTGCCTGTGGAGGGGCCGTGTGGCTGGGCCTGAGGGCAGCCCCCAGGTGACACCCAGCCAGAAAATGTGACCTCAGTCCTTCTGCCAACAGCCTGAATGAAGCTGAGAGGATCCTGAGCCCCAGATGAGTCCACAGCCCCAGCCAACACGGTGATTTCAGCCTTCCAAGACCCTGAGCAGAGAGCTTAGCTCCGCTGCGCCTGGACTTCTGACCTGTGGAATCTGTGAGACAATAAATAGATGTTTTAAGCCACTAGGTTTGTGGTTGTCATTTTTATGTAGCAATTGAAAACTAGTCTATTCACATATCCAGTGCCTTTGGTAGACTCTGGAAAGGTTCCAGTTCAGCAAATGTTACTAGAAATAAGGCAGGAGGCTGGCAGAGAGGGCAGGGCTTGAACCAGACGCCTTGGAAACTGAACCACAGGGAGACTTGGAAGGAGTCCTTGGAGTGTCTGGAGGCATGTTCCCTGGGGGGAGTCAAGAGGAGGGGTCTCTATCCTCAGGTGTGAGCTGGGCCTGTGCGAGCCGGGCATGAGACCTCAAGCTTTGGGTGTGACCAGAGTGTTTCTGCGTCGTTGGGTGAGATGAATTTTGCCTGAGAAAAGAGGCTGGTTCTCTCGCTGATGAGTGAAGTTGTATTAATACTGTTTAGTGGGTGATCCACACTTTCACCATCGTGTGTACTTTTGCCGTGGCTTGGTTCCTGTGGGTCTTTACTCTGTGAAGGGCATGGTGTGGAGCACATACTGAGTTTGTTCACCTTGAATCACAGACACTCGCACTTGGACACGTCCTTAGATGGCGCCCATCCTGACTCACAGCATCTCTGGCAGGGGTCCTCCAGACTCTGCTCTCACCGGCCTGGTGAGGACAGCTGTGGCTTTGTGAGGCTGTCTCATTCTTGGGCATCTTGAGTGGTTTAGAACAGGGTTTCTAAAGCCAGGGTCCTTCAGATATGTGAACGTAAGTATTATCTCCTTCTAATTATTCCCCTTTTCTCCATTTAAGCATCTTTTCTTCCTTCAATTATTCTACATCTGAAAAGAGTTGCAGAGCCCCTCCCCTCCCCTTGGACACCCTATAAGAACTCTGCACAGCACAGTGGTGCTCTGGGTAAGCTAGTTGTCAACACAGCTCCATGTCATCTTCTTCCATTTAGCATTGACTAATATGGGTTTGTGGTTACTATTAAGATAATTCAAATATTCTGACAAGCTTCAGTGAGCTCTTATGTGCGCCTGGAATTTTGTGAGGGTCCAGGGGTTAAGAATAAAATAACGTGGCTCTGTCTCCTTACTACGAGAGCTTCAAATTTAGTTGGAGAAATAGCATGCCAACAATTAATAAAATGCCATTTGATGATTATGTAATAAGTATGAATTAACAGCTTCAAGGAAATTCCAGGTACCATGTAATCTCCAACCTTTCCTTTTCTTCGTTTACACCAAATTTCATCGCAGGTTACTTTTGGGAATGCTCAAACTCTGGGGAGATTTGAAAAGTGCCCCTCCCCCGTGGCACCCCCCGTGCCAGTTGCTGAGCAGAGCCTCATTGGGAAGTAGCCACAATGCTGTTTCCTTGTTCACATGTTGGAAAGGATCTGAATTAAAGAAAAACACTACATCTCATGTGAAATGATGGGTAGGCTCCCCATGCAGGCCACTTGAGGATTCTTCCCTTGGTCTGTTCATTAAGAAAAAATTAAAATTTTTAAAATTTTTAAAAAATTAAAAATCCTTGGGACCTGCCCAGTGGTGCAGTAGTTAAGTTTGCACGTTCTGCTTCAGTGGCCCGGGGTTTGCTGGTTCGGATCCCGGATGCAGACCTATGCACTGCTTGTCAAGCCATGCTGTGGTGGGCGTCCCATGTATAAAGGAGAGGAAGATGGGCACAGATGTTAGCTCAGGGCCAGTCTTCCTCAGCAAAAAAGAGGAGGATTGGTGGCAGATGTTAGCTCATGGCTAATCTTCCTCAAAAAAAACAAAAAAGAAAGAAAGAAAAAATTACCCTTGCCAAATTGGAACCTGATTCTGCTAAAGCCTCTAATTCTATTTTTGCTTTTATACGAACTATAGAGGTAGAGGAATGTGTTAAACAACATCAATTGATTGCAATACACCAAATATAGAATGTGGGAAATTCTGTAGACAAATGAACTAGTTTCTTCAACAAATAAATGAAAATAATAAAAAAGAAGGAAGAGGAACTTATAAGCTAAAAGATAAAGTGACATATCCAAACTAAATAAGGATAGATTATTTAGATCTGGATTCAGATGCACCCACTGTAAAAGCCAAGCCTTTCTGAGACAGTTGGAAACGTTTGAGCACTGACTCTATTTTTGACATTAAATAATTGCTATTTTCATGCGTGTCAAGGATAAAGACATTTTGGTTATCTTAATAGAGGAGTTTGTAATCTTTAATGATATACACTGAGGTATTTGTGGATGAAATAATATACTTCTGGAATTTGTAAAAAATGTAAAAAGTGAAAAAAACTGTAGTAGGTAGAAAGAGAGTGGAGAAATTAACACCAGGATGTCCATCTTTTTTTTTTTTTTTTAAAGATTTTATTTTTTCCTTTTTCTCCCCAAAGCCCCCCGGTACATAGTTGTGTATTCTTCGTTGCGGGTTCTTCTAGTTGTGGCATGTGGGACGCTGCCTCAGCGTGGTCTGATGAGCAGTGCCATGTCCGCGCCCAGAATTCGAACTAACGAAACACTGGGCCGCCTGCAGCGGAGCACGCGAACTTAACCACTCAGCCACGGGGCCAGCCCCAAGGATGTCCATCTTTTGATAACAACATGTTGAAAATGAGTGATGGATTCTTGGTTCTTCATTATATTTTTCTCTTGGTTTTATATGTCTCAAAATTTCAATTATAAAGTGTTACAAAACATTGCTTTATGCCAATTATTTAAACGTTGAATTTTTTCTCTTTACCACAATTTTATGTGTTTTTCAGACAGTATACTTTGTAATTATTTTGGTAGCTTTTTATTTTCTGATACTATTTTTAAAAATGTTTTATTTCTATTGCAATTCTCACTGTTTACATCAAAAGCAGGGGATACAATTTGAAGTGACTTTCCTGTCTAGAGAGAAAATTACATAAGTAAAGCAATTCTGTGTGCCATCTGCCCTGCCCCAAACAAATAGGCTGCTGTTTCTAACAATTATTGATATGTGTTATCAAATTCTTCTTATTATTTTGACATGTAAAAAGCTGTACATATTCAGTGTATATAATTTGATGAGCTCAGGGATGGGTATACACTCCTGAAACTATCCCTACCATCAAGGCCACAGACGTAGCCATCACCTTCCAGTTTCCTCCTCCCCCCTTTATTATTATTATTATTTTGCGGTAAGAACATTTAACATAAGATCTACCCTCTTAGCAAGTTTTAAGTATATAATACGGTATTGTTAGCTATAGGGATTATGCTGTGTAGTAGATCTCCCGAATTTACTTATCTTGCATAACAGAAACTTTGTACCCTTTTATCAACATCTCCCCTTTCCCCCTCCTCCCCAGGCCCTGGAAACCACCATTCTGCTCTCTGCTTCTATGAATTTGGTTCTCTTAGATTCTACATGTAAGTAACATCACAGAGTATTTGCCTTTCTGTGTCTGGATTTCATTTGGTACAATGTTTTTCAGGTCCGTCCATGTTGTTGCAAATAGCAAGATTTCTTTCTTTTTAAAGGCTGAGTAATATTCCACTATACGTATATACCACATTTTCTTCATCCATTCATTTAACATTTAGGTTAAAAGATGGGCAAAGGACTTGCTAGACATTTCTCCAAAGAATGCGTACAGATCGCTAACAGGTATATGAAAATGTGATCAACATCACTAATCATCAGGGAAACATAAATCAAAACCACAGTGAGATATCACCTCACATCCGTTAGGATGGCTACTATTAAAAAGCAAAAGTGTTGCTGAGGATGTGGGGAAATGTGAACCTTGGTACTATTGGTGGGAATGTGAAATGGTGCAGCCACTATGGAAAACAGTATGGAGGATTCTCAAAAAATTAAAAATGAAACTACTATAAAATCCAGCTATTCTACTTCTGGCTACTTATCCAAAAGAAATGAAATCAGGATCTCAAAGAGATCCCTGCATGCCCATCTTCACTGCAGCAATGTTCACGATAGTCGAGATATAGAAATTATTATTTTATAAAGTGAGGAATCCTGAATTTTATACAAAATGTTCAATTTTAAAAGGGATAAATAATATAAATCAATGAAATTCTTTACAGAACAACAAAAGAGGTCTACATTTCTATGTACTGACCATTGTTCCCAGCATTTTCCATGAAATGACTCTATTACTAGGTGAGAACCATCTGTGTGGGTAGGGGGCCCAGAATGCAGGAAATGTGGGTTGGGTGTCCCATGGCGCAGCTGCTTCAACTGGAACCCCCATGATGGAGGTAGGGGGATGACCTGGGCACTGTGCTCACCTCTTCACTGCTGATCTGCCCAGAGTTGCTCTCTCACTCTTTGCTGACACAGGGAATGTCTCCTCCCACTAGTGCTCTTCATCTGCTTTCTCTTTGCTCTCCTCTCAGTTCTCTGCATTTTAGTTGTAGGAAGTAGAAGGAACAATAAAACTCTCCAGTGAAAATGCTAAATTACAAGCTTTGTTCCTAACTGGCCTTGGGCAAAGCTCTCTGTTACAACAGAGGAACTTAATTAGTGAATTGGACTTCCTTTCACAACCTATACAGGAATCTATAGGCACTGGGCCCATGCTCTTCTCTCCTGGTTTGTTGTTGCCCTGGAGCTGTTACAAAGAAAATGTCACTGCACTAGATTCCTATTTCAGCCACAGGGGCAGGACGCTTTCCAGTGGCCTATGCTGACCCCATGGGGAGAGTGCAGCCTCCAGACAGGCCCAGACCTCTAAGGGCAGAGAGGGAAAATGGCAGCGTCACTCAGTGGCAGCCTCATCCTTCAGAGAAACTGGGATACAGCCTCCACTGGAGTCCAGCCCTCAAGGCTAAGGTCTCAAAGATTTGCTGGGAGTGAATCAAGCAAAGGCCGAGCGCGATCTCTGTACCAGGGGGTCAGGAGGAGGCCCTCTCCAGCACAAGACCCATGGAAGCAGAGGATCCGGGCTGGACCAGAGGGACTCCTCTCATGTTCTCCAGGAAGAACCAGGATTGATAGGCTCCATCGTACCACTCTCTATGGCTCGTGTATACGGGGTGTCCCAAAAATCTTAGTGCCGTTTTAAACTTTAAGAACTTCAAAAGGGTAAATGCTATGAAATTACGAAAACATAATCTGATAGTTGAATTATTTATATTTTTTATATACTTGTTGAGATTTGTGAGTTTTAAATAATAAGTGGTTAATTTTTGCAGGCTCTATCAAGGTGACAAACATTGACTGAAACAAAACATTAAAATCAAACATTTATCTTTCAAAATTCACAAAACTATATAAACACATAAAAAATATAAGTAATTTAACTGTCTAATGATGTTTTTTATAGCCTTGTAGCATTTATAACTCTAAAGTTATTAAAGTTTAAATCTCCACTAAGCCTTTTGGGCCAGCCTGTTATTACAGACTGTTAGATAGTTGTCTGTATAGCGTGCATGGATCATTGCAGAGAGAGATGCCTGTAGAGTATTCACACGGCACATGTACTATAATCATTCATTCATTCAATGACTGTATTTTCAATATTTACCAACAAGGTTCTGGCACTGGGAAAACAACAATGAGCAAAATGAAAATTTCTGTTCTCATGAAATATATAGTTTTCTAATAATTCAGTACATGTAGGCCTTACTTCAGAGTTTGGGTTCAATTCTTAGCAATAAATGCTGTAGAAATATTCATAAATTTGGAGAATAAAAAACTCCTGTTTTTCTTTCTTTTAATAGGATTTCTTTAAAAATAATGTTATTTCACCCTAGGAAGAGAATCATGAAGGTCATGGAAAATGGAATTTGGGTTTGTACTGTTGGTTACATCAGTGCTCACAAACTTCTAGTAGGCTGCCCAGCAATCTCACTACATTTCTGTAGTCAGCTCACTCTCTGCCTCACACCTCTCCTCCCTTCAAAACACTGGCTCTCTTTCCTCAACCTGCACATTTTATTTCACTGAGAAAAAAAGGAGCAATCAGATGAGAACTTCCATATCTTCCCATATCGGATCTTCTAACCCGTCTGGATTTGTGCCCAGATACCTTGCTTCTCTCCATCTCTGGATGCCTGTAGGCTGCTGATTAAAGTCAACCCCACTCTTACACTAGAAGCCTAATCTTGTTGTCCTACTAAGGATTTTGTTTCGAAAATTTCTCCTCTCTTCTGTATCATCACTTTTTCCCTCTCTACTGGATCTTTCCATCAACATACAAATGCACTGTAATTTTCATAAGAGAAAAAGCTTCTTTCACTCTACCTTCCTCTTTAACTATTGCCCAATTTCTTTGCTCTCGTTTATAGTAAATCTCAGAAGATTTGTCTATACTAATTGTTTACACTTTCCTCTCATTCTCTTTTGAACTCTCAAATCAGGCTCTTGTGCATCACCACTCCACTGAAAAAACACAAGTCAAGACCCAACTCAATGACTACCATATCTAAACACATGGTCAATTCCAAGTCCTACCCTTTTCTCTTTAACAGCATTTGACCCACTCGATCACACCCTTCTTTAGCAATTCTCTTCTTCACTTGGCTTCCAGAACACTACGTTGACTCCTCTCAATCTACTTTCTTGGCTCCTCTTTAGTTTGCTCCAAATGATGGAGCATCCAGGACTGGATTCTTAGACCTTTGCTCTTCCTTCTCTGCTTACATTCTAGACCCATGCTTCTAAATCCTGTTTCTTGGCAAATGACTCAGATTTGTATTTCCAGCCCCAATGTCTCTCTTCAACTCTAGACTGGTATACCTAACTGTCGCCTCTACATCTATTGGAAATCCAATGGGCATTTGAAACCTCGTGTGTTCCAAAAAGAACTCACATTTTTTTCCCTCCAAACTCGATCCCTTCACTGTCCCTATAGTAGTAAGTGGCAGGACCACTTACCAGGCCAAATACTTTGGAGTCATTCTTAGATTTGACATTTTATCATTCCACGTTTTATCATTTTGTATGCTGCTGCTCTTGTCCACCCTAGTCCTTGTCCACCCTTGCCCACTCCTCTATACCACAATAGCCTCCTAATTAGTTTCCCTGCTTCCAACTTGCCACCGTACACAACTTGTCCACACAGCAGTCAAAATAACCCTTCTAAAACATTAAGTTTGATCTTGACACTCTCCTGCTCAGACTACTGTGATGGCTTCCCACAACAGCTGGAATACATCTTTAAATCACGTGCTGCAAAGCCCTTCCCCTTCTAGTCCTTGCTTACTTCTCCAACCTCATTTCTCACCACAATCTCCATCGCTGCCCTTTAGCCTGCTGACTCTGCTGTTCCTCAGAATTATCCCGAGAAGGCCCCTATCCCAGACACTGGGCCTGCAATGTTCTTCCCCTATATAGCTTCCTGGCTGGTTCCTGAACCTCGTTCATGGCTCTGTTGCATTGTTGCCTCTTCACCGTCCTGTGTAAGGCAACCCCCTCTCTGAGCTTAACACTTACACTCAATCTCCTTACCCTATTTGTGTTTTTATAAAACTTATCCCCTCCTGATAGTAAATTATAGTTTGATTTAAAAAATTTATTAAGTACCTTCCCGTTAGAATAGAAATTCCCTGAGGGTGGAGACTTTATTTTGTTGGCTTTGTCCCCAGAACTTTGAACAGTGCCTTGATATAGAAGTTGCTCTACAAATATTTGTTGAATAAAGCAGAATAGAATTAGACAAAATCTTATACTTATCAGTGGTGCTTTCTCCGTTTTCTCCTTTTCTTCCTCCTCTTTCTATTGCTTCTTCCTCCGCTTCCTCCTTCTGCTGTCTCTTCCTTCTTCTTTTCTTTCTCCCTGTCCTCTTCATTATTTTCTTCCTCCTCCTCCCCCCCTTCTTTTTTCCTCCTACTTAAAAAAATTAACCCATTTTTTTAATACTAAGACAAAGTAGTCGAAACAATAGGAAATAATTCCCTGTTTCTTGTCTATTAACCTGAGTGTGTGTGTGTCTGTGTGTGTTGTGTGTGGAGGGGGAAGTTGTTGCCCATAGAAGATGGGGGAGTGAGGGGCAGAACTCTGTTTTTAACGACAGATATGTAGGAGAAAGGCTACAATCTGAGGTACATGCTGGAATCAAGGCAGCATACATTCTACTTTTTCGGATGCTGCATTGAGGCTCAGCTCAACTCCTTGGCTTCCCTTGCTACTGGGGGGCCCAGCCGGGGTCAAGTAAAGGGTCAAGAGTCACTAATATTGCATCAGTTGCTAGTTACATCTGTCTCAGCACAGGCCATGAGGTGATATTGTCTTGGGACAAAGGGTCGTCCATTCGATGGATCAACAGTTAGTACCACAACTTCTTTCCTTTCTCTGCATCCTTAATAAATAAGCTTGGCTTTAGGACCTGAGTGTTTTCTGAACTTGTATTAGGAAGGGTAGTGATAAACTGTAATCTTGGCCTTACTTGTTGAGTTAATCCAGGGAACATTAAGAATTGTTCCTGAAGTGAATAGATCCCACTTAATGACTGGAGGTCTTAGAATTCTGTATGACTAAGACAGATTTCAAAGCTGTGCCCCACTTCTGTTCTCCTTACCTCCTCTCAGTACATGCT